TACCATCGGCATATTCACGCTATCCTGCTTCAGAAGCCGTCTGGAGGGTATCGCCCAATCGCTCTCTTGGTTTCGTTATATGGAGTATGGGCTAAGGCCAGAATTGATCACGTACGTTCCTGGGCGAACCGTCTGGATCGTCCTTTTCTTGCACTAGGAACTGGAAGGGCAACCACATATGTTGCCTCGCGAGCGTTGCTTCATGGAGAAGCGCACCCACCGCAGAAAAAGGCACAGAAGGACGACGTGATTTGTGTGCACGCCATCGTTGACATAGAGAAGTGTTTCGATCGAGTTTTGTGGGCTGTGATTTTGCATGCAGCTATCAAGCACGGTTTCCCTGGGGCACTGGTTACACTCGCACTGCGCATGTACTCGTACGAGCGTCGCTTGTCGTGGTCAGGGGCTTTCTCGGAACCAGTGTTCGCATCTCGAGGGGTACTTCCAGGGTGTAGCATGGCGATGTTTATCCTGCAGCTAGTCCTTCGTGCCCCAGTGGGCTCTCTGTACGGTAGCTCGGTGCACATCGACCGCGCGCTGCGCGTGTACGCCGACGATCTGACCATACAGGTGAAAGCTACTATGGACACGATATACAAGCACGCGTGCTACATGTTGAAGGGGGTGGTGGATCTTCTGGGCTCCGTCGACCTCGCCCCCGCTAAACGCAAGATGACCGTGACTTGCGCCTACCCTTCCGTCGCCAAGCGTGTCTGCCGTACCTTAGGACGATCTGGGTATCGATATCTTTCTGCTTTGGAAGTTCTGGGAGTTGAAGTCAGACGAAAAATGACAGGACGTTTTCCCAGGCTTCGTCGGCTTCGCAAAGCGGGTGCTCTGACTGGTAAGTTTGCCAAAGCTGCCGTGCCTGCCGCGCTCAATTACGGTGTAGGGGTACATGGTGCTCCCCCCTCGGTGATTCAATCCATGCGCAAGGCCATGCGCAGTGTGTGGTACGAACCTGGTCGTTCAGGCTCTGCGTGGATATCATCCTTCCTCCATGGGGGTGGTCCACAGGACCCTCAGATAGCGGCCTGGTCCGATCCAATTTTTCAATGGAGTTTGTGATGTTGGGACCGCTCTCAGCACGATTTGCGACAGATGGCGCGGCGACGGCAGGTGCGGACAATGTATTCCTCCAAGCATCCCTGGGGTGAAGTCGCTGGGCATACAGGGGCTACCCTTCTAGCTTGCCGTTCTCTGCAATGGGTTTCGTCGTCGGCTTTCGCTGTTCGGACCGATCGTGGGGATGTGCTAGACTTACGGGAAGCATCTCCACTTGCTGTTCGTGATCTTGCTCGGGAATCAGCCGTTCGTCGATTATGGTCCGACTGGGCTGGGAGGCGCGATCGTGATACGTCCTGTACCTTGGCCCCCAAGACCTCCAGTGGGTACTGGTTGGAGCCCGTGGTCTCTCTCTTGGGCAAAGCGCGGCAAGAGGAATATCCAGATAGGCCATATTCGTTGTCTCTGCAGACGGCAGGCACCTTGAGAGCTCTGGTCACAGGTGGTTTGTGGACCCCCGTTCGCAGGCACTCTTGTGCGTACGTGGACTCGCCAAGTTGCCCCATATGTTCGTCGTCGCCAGCAGACCTCTTTCACATTCCCTGGACATGCTCGTGTAACGAAGATGGGCGTGACAATCTCTTCGATGATCATGATAAGTCGGTGCTTCCCCACCCCGCCTTAACGTCGTGGTTTTGGACGCGTGGCTTGATGTCGAGGGCGGTTTTCCCTGGGCTTCCACCTAGAGACGACTCCTGCACCTGGCATTCCATGTGCGGGGACTGTCAGTTGATCACTGGGCATGTCTTCTCGGGCGGGGCCTGCCGTAAGTGCCATTATTGGCCCGGGGCCGCTCGGGCAGGTTGGGGTTTCGCCCAAGTCGGAGATCACAGTATATTGTTATGCGTGTATGGGGCTTTACCTGGCCCCATTCAGACATCCCCGAGGGCCGAGCTCTACGCTGTCGTGCAGATCTTGAGAGTCGCCATGTTGCCGCTCACGATCTACACGGATTACTTGGATCTTCCAGACGGCCTCGCTCGTGGGCCTTCTTGGGGGTGCTCGTCAAGGCGCCCAAATTGTGACCTCTGGTGCGAGATATGGCGTAGGATCGAGGATTTAGGAGGTTTGGGACCCTCTCTCCAGGTCCTGCATGTCTCGGGGCATCAGAAAGGCATGTCTTTTGAAGCTCGGGGAAATCGCTGGGCCGATTTTGCGGCCACCCAGGGCAGGGACCTTCATGCGGTTCGGCAGGAGGATGCTTTATTTATGGAGCGGCTTTATAAGGCCACTCGTAAGCCCCTTGTCTGGATGGCTAGGTCTCACACTAGATATATGAGTGAAACGGTTGCCCCAGGTCAGGACCGTTTTGAGCAGCGACGAAAGGCTCGGACGGCTGCTGCCGCTCGTGCCAAGGCCCCGCCCGATCCTGGGATTCAACACGTTTTCTTTAAGTATAAGAATGGCTGGCGGTGCGCCTCATGCTCTAAGACCATTCGGTCGGATAAGCAGCGACAGATATTCGCGCGTCGCCGCTGTCCTGCCAAGATAACTTTATGTGCGAGAATCCTTCGGAGTGTTTCAGACACGGCCTCCATGGAGGCCTCCAGCACTGTGCACGTGCTGCCCGAGGATGGTGACCCGCTTTTGGTCCCTGCCTCTCGCGACGGAGATAGTGGGGGGATGACGTCGTCTCCGCCGTCGCCTTCGTCGGGGGTGAGGCAACTTCGCATTGTCCGTGCTCGCTTGACATCGCCTCCTGCCCGAAGGGTGAGAGCCAGGCTTCAGTTTCGATCTCAGAATTCTCAGCAGAGCACTGGCGTGCCAAATCACGATTTGGATGATATGATCGCCCAAGAGGCGCAGTTTCACGATGAGATCGGTCGGGGGGTTGAGTCTGGGCCGCCGTCGGAGTCGTGGGAGGGGGGATCCTTCAGTTTCGATGTTGATCGAGCTCAGTCTGCGAGGGCTCGAGCTCCCGTCGTTTCTCTGGGGCCTTCCTCGTCCTCCTCCGCCTTCGCTGCCTCCTCTGCTGCGGCTGCGAGTCCTGCTGCTGCGCGTGCTCGCCCTCTCTCCCCCCTCCCCCTGCCCGTGTGGTGCGGGCTCGCCTTTCCGCTCCTCCCCCTCACGACAGAGGGAGAGGGGTCAGCTTTGCGCCCGCCGACGACGGCGTGCTGCACCAGGCGGTGCGCGACTTCCAGGCGCCCCCTCCTCCGCCCGACCCTCTTGTCGAGCGGCCCCCGAAGCTTCGACGCGTTTTGGGGCCTAGAGGAGGTTCTCGCGGCCCGAGCGTCATGCCGCAGTTTCCTCTTCCTGTATCGGGAGATGTTTTACCCAGGAGTGCTCGTGGGCATGAGTTACACGTCTCTCCTGGCCAGGTTGTAATCTGCTTATCGTGTGGGGCCATCAGCACGGGTGGTGCGTCTGCGCTGCTTGATCTGTGTCCCCCTCCTCCATATAGTAAACGAGGGGCCCCCCACATTCATCGGTTCCAGACGAACCGACATCCTGCGGACTTGCGCCGTCGTGAGGCCATTTCAGGACAGAGGAGGCTCCAAGTTTCTGACCCCGAGGTGCACTGGCTGCAACTCGATTGATAAACTCGTTTATCTTTTCCAATATGAGCTTCTAATCTTCCCAAGCTCGTTCGTCTGCCGCTCACCCCGCCGAGATCCTTTGGTGGGCATGGGGTGAGCGCCTGTGCAGGCCAGGGGGAGGGCCGTGGTCTTCCCCCCGTTTTGAGTGGCCGTTTGCGCGCCGCGCGACGGATCCCTCCCAGGCTGCGTACCCCTCCTCCTTCCTCCCTCCTCCCTCCTCCCTCCTCCATTCCTACCTCCTCCCACCTCTCTCCTCCCTCCTCCCTCCTCCTTCCTGCCTCCTGCCTCCTCCCTCTTCCCTCCTCCCTCCTCCCTCCTCCCCCCTCCTCTCCTGCCTCCCCCCCCCTCCTCCCTCGCCCTCCCCCTCGCGCCATCTCCTCCTCCCTCCTCCCTCCTCCCTCCTCCCTCCTCCTCCTCCTCCTCCTCCTCGACCTCCTCGACCTCATCCTCCTCCTCATTCTCCTCCTTGTCGTCCTCCTCGCTAAAAACAGAAAAGAGCTTCACACATTGAGGGCGGATGGTTTTCAGAATGTGGCTCCCGCCTTAGCGCCGCGCACATTGATTTCAAGAACATACAAGAGTTTCACGGACTGAGGGCGGGTCGTTTTCAAAATGTGGCGCTCGCCCTAGCGCCGCGCACATTAATTTCAAACATTTGCAAGAGCTTCGCGGATTGAGGGCGGTTCCGTTTCGAAATGTTGCGTTCCTCTTAGCGCCGCGCGCATTCATTTCAAAGATCGGCCCAACACGGCCAAAATGGCCCCAAGACGATCCAAGAAGCCTCATATACGTCCCAGGAGCTCTCCGAGAACACCCCCACCAGGGCTCCAAGAGGCTCCTCCCCTCCTCCTCCTCTCCCTCCTCCTCCTCCTCCTCCTCCTCCTCCTCCTCCTCCTCCTCCTCCTCCTCCTCCTCCTTCCTCCTCCCTCCTCTCCTCCTCCTCCTCCTCCTCCTCCTCTCTCTCCTCCTCCTCCTCCGCCTCACTCCTCCTCCTCCTCCTCCTCCTCCTCCTCCTTCCTCCTCCTCCTCCTCCGCCTCTCTCCTCCTCCTCCTCCTCCCTCCTCCTCCTCCTCCTCCTCCTCCTCATCCTCCTAAGCCCCTTCTGCTCAGATCGGGGACCTGGGGGGGCTCCCTGGAAGCAGATCCCGCAGGCTAGACCATTTCGCCTGCTGTCCCCCCGCTCCCGCCCACCATGTGAGCTTCTCTTCTCCAAACGATACTGTACAACCCACTCTCGATGTCAGAAGTTGGAACGACACCTGATGGTGAACTTCGGATGGCAGAAGGGCCGACACACCAACAATAGTGCAGGCTGCTCAATAATGTTGAGACGCCGCGCCTTCCGCCAGAGCCACATCCAGGAGATCGTGGGTACGCCCAAGGAGCTGGCGGGAAGAGGAGGCGCAGTGAGATTGAAGACTCCGACCTTCGACATTCTAGTGATCGTGGCGCATCATCCCCCACCGCAGAAGCACCAGGTGGATCATTGGACGAGTACGCGCGCAAAGCTGACGGGGTGGCTTCATCGTACGATTCAGCGTGCCAAGGCCCGAAGCATGGTGATAGTGGGGGCAGACAGGATCTCCGAGTTCGGGAAAAAAAAAGCAGGAGCTAGTGGGACTCCGACGGCGACAAGAGACGACGTGCATGTAGGCCAGTTTGCGAACAGCTTCGAGAATGGAGTGAGCGCCGCTTTGTGGCGCATGATGACCATGGAGGGCATGGCTGCGATCGACACCTTCTACGATACTGGGCCCACGCTCTTCGGAGCACAGCCCCACATCTCCTCTCATCCCGACCACCTGTGGAGCCCATGCGACGCCGTACAAGCTACACAGGCCTGCGTGTGTCTACGAAGAGCGATGCGGGATCTCCAGCGCATCCCATCACCGCACCTACGAGACCATTGCCCTATGCTGTGGAAGTTGAGATATCGGCCGCAGATGACACCCCGCACGGAGACGGACGAAGTACGATGGGATCATGGCGCACCAGAGTTCATGGCGGAACTAGAGCGACGGACGGAGCGCAGCGCTCCCTCCTGGCGCAGAGAGATTCAGGCAGCGGACCCGTGGATGGCGTGGGCGAACCTAGTGGCGGACGTTCGGGAGGCGGCCAAGATCGAGTTTACCGACCAGCGCAGGCATGGACCTTCGGATGAGTATCGGGCCGAGAGAGATAGACTGCTGGAAAAGAGGAGACTCATGAGCGTGAACTTCACGGAGGAGGACCGACTTCGGCTACGAGCATGCGACCGCGAACTCAAGAGAGTACGCCTTCGACTGGATCGAGAGCGAGTGGCGGAGATGTTGAGCGAAGCCCAGCTGGCCTCAGACTTGGGACACACCAGTCCTGTCCGGAAGCTAGCTTTTCAGATAGGAGCACGTTACCACGGAGTACGACGCCGACGATTTAACCTGATCCCGACCTATGCTCCTACGCCGGCGGAATGGCAAGAGACGATGGAGGCCAGTGCGGCGGAGGGCGGGTTCTCAGCCACACGAGCTCTGGGACCAGGATTTCCTAGTGCTGCTGCCCTGGGCCAACGAGAACTGGACGACCCTGATGGAGAGTGGAAAGAACGTCGAGGCAGACCAGGTACGGCAGCGTACGATGACTGGACGAATACACTGGCGTGCTTGGAGAAGGCTGCGAGGCGGCGCTATTCACCCCCTCACTCTGTTCCTGGCGAGGTTTGGCTGACGGCACTACGCGAGGCCACTCGGGAGGCTCGAGGGGAATTCCCGAAGATGAGAGGCAAACACAGCGTCGGGCACATGTCCCCTGCCCGAGGTTCGTGGAAAGGCTATTCGGCATCTTGCGCCAGATCAGGCAGTCCTGTCGCACACCGCACCAGTGGCATTGGTCACGCACGTTTCAATTGAGTAAAGGCAACGGTAAGAGAGGGACGAAAGCGATGAGGCTGATACACTGTTACTGCCCGTTCGGCAAAGCTTGGTACAGAGGCATCTTTGTGCGACACGATCGACCTCGGCTTCCTGACCATGCACACGGCTACGCTGCTCATCGGTCTCGCCAGAACGCGCAGTTGGTGGCCAAGCTGCACTCCTGGAGACTGCGCAAGAAGCCCGTGCCGCACCTGCAGGTGAAGAAGGACATGAGCAATGCCTCCCCGTCGACAGACCACGAATTACTCGAGCAGGTGGTCGGAGAGGTGATCCCAGATATGCAGGACCAGCTCTTTCTACGGCATAGGCACCGAGAAGCTGCTATGGAGATTCAAGCTGGCGAGGAGCGCGGCTTCGTTCTACCTGCACACGGAGCGGGCATGGGCGACGGCAACGCGCGTGAGATGTTGGTTCGTTCTTTTGTCAAGCCGCTGGAGGCCTGGAATCAGATCTTGAGGGTGTGCCCCCGCGACGTCGTGGACACAGGCTGGGGCGGACCTGCTCCACTCATGGAGGCGGCGACGCTGATTGACTCGCCCATCCACGGGGAGCAGATTGACATATCGATGCGAGACTACGCTGATGACGTCTCGCAGACACTGCCGCTACCTGACGGCAACCCACTTCGAGCTGCTAGGCGTGCAAAATTGTCTTCCCCCATCCTGTCCGATCAGTTAGAGGAGATAGGCGGGTTCACACAGAACGTAGATAAGGAGATCGTCCTGCCTGTGTTCGCGGGCCCTGGGGGATACACGGCCACGCGGGCCGTACTTTCTGGATTGGTGGAGTTCCCAGGGCAGGGGGCAGGTAAAAGCTGAGACTGTGTACACCTCACAGGTGGAGCTGGAGCGGACGTTCGTCTTCGGGTCGAGGCCACTCGCTCGGCGCGGTCTAAGCTCGGTCGGTTTTGGAACCAGCACTCGTCCCTGAAGCTCAAGAGGATTGCCTTCTCGGGAGTTATACACAGCGCGGCCTACTCGGGCCTAGGGGTCTACCTTTTGGGGAAGAGAGATTACGCGAAGCTAGACTCTGTCATCGTGGGGTTCGCCACAGTCGCGCTTCGAGGGGTCGCACGGCACGCAGGACCAGCTGGGGATCGTGTTCGAGCCCCTTCCGCTTGGGCGATGCACAAAAGGCTGGGAATAGCTGATGCCAGGACCGAGTTGCTGATTCGACGCCTTGGTTACTGGCAGCGCCTGGCGTTTCACCCCGCGGATTCTGTTCAGGTTGTTGCGGCACTCTTCGGGCAGTTCACAGCGCCCGGTGAGTCTCCGACGTTCACCCCCTCTGGATGGATCCGACCTGGCGCCAACCCCTGGGCCCAGCAGCTTCAGAAAGATGTCCAGATCCTGGAGGCACTCCCCCAAGGTAAGTACTTCCTGGACAAAGGCTACACCATCAGGGACAGATTCACTAACTTTAGAGTTGCAGCGCACTTCAGGAGCATAGACGTCAAGGGCTTTAGGAGGGCTTACTGGGAGCAGGCTCGTAATGGACCCCTTCGGCTTCCCTCAGAACTCCACGCGTCGGACGCCCCTGAAGTACCACCAGTCCCTGAAGGCCCCCCTCATGAGGTAGACTGCGAACTTCCAGGAGAAGACGGGGAGCCCTGTGGTCAGGTCTTCTACTCCAGAGCAGCCTTGAGGGCGCACCAGTGCCACCACCCGTCCCAGAGGATCAGGGCCCCAATGCATCAGCTCGTGGTGACCAACCAATGCTGCCACTGCTCTTCCACGTTCTCGTCTGTGGTTCTTGCCAAGCGTCACGTAGTGCAAGCGTTGAAGAGACGAAGATGTTTGACGGATGTCAGTGCGTTCTCGCCCCCCCCCATAGTGCCCGACGACCTTCACTGCCCGATCTGCGTGGGCCCAGAGAGTGCACACGAGGCCTTTCGAGTTTCTCTGTCTGGCGCCGTACTGGCTCAAGGTAAGTTTCCTAGTCTTCAGGCCCTCAGACACACATCCGTTGAGTTCACGCACCGCCGCCACCCGACCTAGTCATCGATGCCGAGCCTTGCGAAGAGAACACCCGCAACTGGGACGGAGCGGAGGCGCACCGAGCTCGTCGCTGGGCGAGGAGGTCGGACGAGGAGCGGGGGCCGAGGACGGCGAGGGGACCCGAATCGACAGCAGCTGCATCAGCGTCCGCAAGGAGGTCCTCACGGGGCGGCCCCATCGCAGCAGCAAGGCAGAGCACAGCAGGACGTTTGGGCCGCCACCGACGATCACTACGGCCTGCGCTGAAACGACCACACCCAGCTACAGATGACGTCGAGCCAGTCGGTGGGACAGGCGAACATGGCGAAGCTCAAAGGGTACCAGGAAAAGCTCAAGCAAGAGAAGTTGGCCAACGTAGAGTTGACGGACGTGGTCCGCCTGTGTCGGCTCCAGAAGACTCGCGCACTGGACAGGGTCAAGATCTGGATAGAGACCAAAGCGAAGGACAGGGAGGATGTGGTGGTACAGGCTACGATCCAATTCGAAGGGGACCGCAAGCAGGGGACGCCGCCTTGCTGCCACAACGGTCAGCTGCTGCAGTGGCATCTCGGCGAGAAGCAGTAGAGAGACTACTATAAGCGGCGCCGAGACCTTTGCCATATGAGGACCCAAATACTGGTGGGATCGGTATGACCAGAATGCAGTCCGAATTGGAACAACAGGTGACCGTACCCTACTCATTTGATTCGGTGGGAACATCATTGGGGCCACAGGTACATACTTCACCAGAGATGGCGGAAACGACGGCGACGGCTGCTACGCCCTTGCGAACTCAGAGAAGGACGCGCAGTTCACTTTCGGCCAGGGGAACCTGCGCAGGGACCCCCTCGACCAGACCTAGAAATGCCGCCACTGCCGCCGCCTCTCCTGCCTCTGGGACCTGTTCCTCCCCTCCCCTTCCGCTTAGCAGTATCGTGGGGCTCCTGGGTCTTCGCCGACCCCCCCTGATGATTCTCGGAAACTTTTTGTCTTGGTCCGTGAGGGCCGTAGTCGGCCTGAGTTTCATTGGCTTTAAATGGTTGAGTCTAGCGAGGGGAGGTTGAGCCCGATTTGGGGCCGTCCCCCCCCCCTCGGGCGTCTTGGGACCCCTCGCCTCTCTCCTTTCTCTGCCCTTCCTCGGGCCTCTGGGGGCCCTCCTTGGCCCCGCTCGTCCCCGCTCCCCCCCGCGGCCTCGCTCCTTTGTCGGGTCCCGATTCGCCCGAGGGTTACTGCTTCTTTTCTCCCCCACCTGTTTCTGCCCTGACCCTACGGCCGAGCCCAGCCTTTAAAGCGGGGGGCCTACCAGCCGAGGTAGGGGGTGGGCGGGAGCATGCGTGCACCGAGTGCCACGCGGGATGATTTTTGTCACATCGCCGCGCCCTCTAGAAGCGAGCCAGCTTTGGAAATCGTCTGAGCCTGATGTCAGATGCCCCGAGGGGGATGAGAGACCAGCTGTCACGCCTCTGCAGAGTCGTTCGTTTGTTCGTTCTCCTCCTCCTCCTCCTCCTCCTCCTCCTCCTGGTCCTCCTCCTCCTCCTCCTCCTCCTCATCTGTCCCCCTCCTCTTCCTCCTCCTGCTCCGTCTACTACTACTCCTTCTCCTCCTCCTTCGCCTTCCTCTCAGCCTCTCCCTCCTCATTATCCTTCTTCTCATTTTCCTCTTCATGTTTGTCCGTCCTCCTCTTCTTCCTGATTATCCTCCTCCTCCTCCTGACCTCCCTCTTCTTCCTCTTTCTCGTCCTTCTCTTCATCCTCCTTCATTTCCTCCTCCTCTTCCTCTTGTTCCCTCCTCTTTCTCCTCCTCCTACCCCTCCTCCTCTTCCTTCTCCTCGTTCTCATCCCTCTCTCAGGCAGGATGCGCTGCAGCGAAAGGAGACGACAGACGAGAAGAAATCGACCGACGCACCCCTTTCTCCTCCTCCTCCTCCTCCTGCCACTCCTCCTCCTCCTCCTCCCCCCAACCCCCCCCCTCGCGTTCATCTTCGTCGTCTTCAGGGTCGGCGGTACCGGCCCTAAGGTCTTCGCATTAATCCGTCTTTTGTCCAGGGCAGACACTGGTGCATATGTATTAACAGCTCTGATGGTATACCATATCTCACTGCTACTACAATGCTACAGCGTAGATCGATAGCCACGCATTCAGGTCGAAATGGACTGCTGTCCTGGCAAACGCCGCGACATTCCATACTGAAACCCATCTACTGATTTCAAGCGATTCTTCCTTAGGCTCCTCCTCCTCCTGCACCTTCCTCTCTCTCTCTCTCTCTCTCTATCTCTCTTTCTCTCTCTCTCTCTCTCTCTCCTTCTCTCTCTCTCTCTCTCTCTCTCTCTCTCTCTCTCTCTCTCTCTCTTCGTTTCCCATTTCCTCCACCTGCTCCGCATCAGTATCGTCCTCCTCATGACAACGCCTCCTCCTCCTCCTCTTCCTCCTCCTCGTCCTCCTTCTCCTTCTGTTCCTCCTCCTCCTCATCATCATCATCATCATCATCATCATCATCACCATCAGCATCAGTATCATCATTAGCAGCATCAGCATCAGCATCAGCATCAGCATCAGCATCAGCATCATAATCATCAGCATCAGCATCAGCATCAGCATCAGCATCAGCATCAGCATCAGCATCAGCATCATCATCATCATCATCATCATCATCATCATCATCATCATCATCATCATCATCATCATCATCATCGAAATCATCTTCATTCCTGTCCACCACATCCTCATCATCCTCATCCACGATGCCAAGGAGGGGAGGGGAGGAGTTACGAAGGATGCGGAGGGAATCGGAGGGAAAATGCAGAGGCTACACTCAATCTTCAGGTCCTCCTCCGTCTACTTCCTCATCCCTCTCCTCTCCTCCTCCTCCTCCTCCTCCTCCTCCTCCTCCTCCTCCTCCTCCTCCTCCTTCTCATCATTATCATACACCTCCTCATCATCAGCAGCAGCATCGTCGTCATCCTCATCCGCAGCAGCAGCCTCATGGTCGTCATCATCATCATCATCATCATCATCATCATCAGCATCATCATCATCAGCACCATCATCATCATTCTCCTGATCGTCGTCTTCGTCGGGGTCATCATCATCATCATGATCAGCATCAGCAGCATCATCATCATCAGCATCATCATCACCATCACCATCATCATCAACATCAACATGAGCAGCAGCAGCATCAGCTTCATCATCATCATCATCATCAACAGCATCATCATCAGCAGTATGATCATGATCAGCATCAGCAGCCTCATCACCATCATCATCGTCATCATCAACATCCTGATCATCAACATCGTCATCCTCATCATCATCATCAGCAGCATCATCATCATCAGCATCATCATCATGAAAATCCTCGCCATCAGCAGCATCATCATCGTCAGCAGCAGCATCATCAGCATCATCATCACCAGTCGTCACCATCAACAGCGTCATCATCATGAGCATCCTCGTCATCCTCGTCAACAGAAACATCAACATCATGAACATCAACATCAAATCAGAATCATCATTAGCAGCAGCATCTATATAATCATCATCACAATCAGTAACACCTTCATCACCACCATCATGGGCCCACCATCATCAGCCTCAGTATCAGTATCATCATCATCATCATCATCATCAGCAGCATCAGCATCAACATCAGCATCAGCATCAGCATCATCAACAACATCATCAGCAGCACCACCACCACCATGATCATCGTCATCATCAGCATCACCACCATCATCATCATGATCATCATCATCATCATCATCATCACCACCAGTAGCATCATCATCATTATCATCATCAAAATCTTCCTCCTCCTCATCCTCTTCCTCCTCCTCCTCCTGCTCCTCCTCCTCCTCCTACTCCTCATCCTCCTCCTCCTCCTCCCTCCCTCTCTCTCTCCCTTCCTCCCCTCCCTCCCCCCCTCTCCCCTCCCGCCCTTCCTTCTCCCCCCCCCGCCTCCTCCTGTTCGTTCCCTTTCGCCGGGTCCTCTTCTCCACGGCGGCAGACAAGGACTGGTTCTCCTGGCATTGACGCTGCGGGTGTCGCTGGCAACACGCGGAGGGGGCTGCCGCGGGGGCATCGGGAGAGGTCTCGACCCCATCGCGAGGACTGGAGTTTCATCATGGATCTTGCTTCGATGGCCCCAGGGCCCGAAGCGTGCGTCCAGAAGCAGAAATTGCGGAAAAAACAGCGGACCTGAAAGATACTGCGCCCAGGGTCTGGACACCCGGGCATTCTTGTTATAGGCTAGGAGGGCGGGAGGGCGATTCGCCAGCAGCGTCAAGAGGGGCCCTTGTCATGCTCTTTCTTCATCCTCGTCCTCCTCCTCCTCCTCCTGCTCCTCCTTACCCACTCAACTCCTCATCATCATGATCATCATCATCATCATCATCATCATGATCATCATCAGCAGCGGCATCATCATCAACAACAGAATCAGCAGCAGCGTCATCATCATCAGTAGCATCATCATCATCATCATCATCATCATCATCATCATCATCATC